AATTCCGAGCAGAGCATTTCCAAGGCCTTCTGAACGAGGCGGCTACCAGACGGAGGGGCCAGAAAAGCCAAGTAGACGGCAGCGGGGTCTAAAGACCTGCCAGAGTGTGGACGGTTCCCCACTTCCCGCGAGGGGCCTCGTCGAAGCAGGACGGGCCTTGCTGGGCAGCAGCAATGCATTGATTCATTCACATGGCAGTTCTGCACACTGCCAGAGGATCCTGTGGAGGACCTTAATGTACGTCTGGCGGACACACGGGTGGTGGCGGTGGTGGCCTTGCACTCCAGAGCCATGCTACCCAAGGACCGGGAGAATGCGCTCTAAGACTCAGCGGACAGGAAGGACGGATCAGTGCTAAAGAAATTGCATGAGGGGTCCTCTGTGGCCATCAGGGCATCAAATGGGACACCTGCCATCGTTATCTGAGCAGACGATCTGCTGCAGAACCCGGGTATAAGCCCGCTGGATCTTAAGAGGTCCCTGCTCAAGGCGAAGAGGGCAGCAGAGTTCGCCTCTGATGATGCCTCCCAGGACACAATGCCGTTTTGCACCAGGGCGCAAGAGGCAAGCATCATAAGAAGAAGGAATATCTGGTTAAAACACTGGAAGGTGGATCCGTTGTCCACAAGCAACCTCTCACCAGAAAAATCCTCTAGCAGGCTCCTTTTTGGGGAATCCAATCTCGATAAGGTCCTCATCGAGGCAGGAGGAGGAGAAGAAGAAGAAGAAGAAGAAGAAGAAGAAGAAGAAGAAGAAGGCGATGCGTTCATCCTCAGCTAGCAGAGATAAAGAATCCAAAGCCCAGATCACATCAGTCCTTTCGCAGCTTCAGACATTCAGGGCAGGGAGGGGGGGACACAAAGGAATTACGGGGGTTTCAGGCCCTTTGGATATCGTTCCAAGACCAGTGTTCCCTCTAAGCTGAGTTAGTGTGAGCTAGCTCACAGTTCTTTAGCCTCCGGCTCACACATTTTTGTCTTCGCTCAGGAAGGAGGGCTCCAGAGCAAACTCATTTATGCAGCAGCTAAATCGCCCGCTCACAACTCTAATGCCAGGAGGAGCTCACAAAGTAGGATTTTTGCTCACAAGGAGACTCCACAGCTCAGAGGGAGCATTGTCCAGGACCCAGACCTCCAGTACCCTTTGGGCAGGACAGAAACCTGCCTGCCAAAAAACTCTCCCTGCCTGACTACCTCGTTGGAGGTTGGCTTCAGCCCTTTTCGGAGGCATGGAGCTCTTCAGCGTCGGATGGATGGGTCTTGTCAGTTATCATGGAAGGCTGCAGGATAGAGTTCGTGACTACAGCCCCTCACCAATTTGTACCATCCCGGGTCCCAAGACCCCAGGAGAGACGCTATCTGCTAAATCAGGCAATGCAGCACTTGGCTCAGATAGGCTCGGTAGAAGAGTCCCTCCAAACCGACAGTATGCTTTGTGGCTCCCAGGCGATCCAGTGACTGGAGAGCAGTGTTGAACCTAAAGAGTCTCGACAACTGGGTGAAAGAGCAAAAGTCCTGGATCGCCTGGGACTCCTGACGTCACGTCCTACAAGTACGGAAAAAAGAAGACATCCTCCTAACCGCCCTTGATCGTAGGGAGGCCTGCCGTCCTGTTTTTGTGCATCCACGCTCCAGACAATTCCTCCACTTCTACCACCAGAGGTGCCGTTTCTAGTACCGGGCCTGGTCCTCTGGCCTCTCCTAAGTCCCAGGGGTGTTCACCAAGGTTATGGTGACCTTGGTGGCAAAACTTTGGCAGAAGGTGATCCACGTGTACCCCTGTCTGGACGGCACGCTGCTTATAAGGGCAAAGGACATGGCCACTTCTGTGAAATTCACAGAGGGGACCATGGAAGTGCTGCAAGCGCACGGGGGTTTCTCATCAACAACCCAAAAGGTCGAGGGACCTAGTCCACCTGGGAGCCAGAATCCACGCACGCCTAGCCAAGGTCTTTCTCCCAGTAGAGAGACGGCAGGAGATCAGATCCGTGGTTGTGGATGTCTGGAGCAGCAGCTCCGCAGATCTCATGCCGCTCTCAGTGGAGCGGGGCCTCATGGTCTCCACCACAGACTTGACTCGGTGGGCCTGGTTCCGCTCCGGAGCCCTGTGGTGGGGGAGCCATCTCCCTTTTCGAAGGGACATCACAAACCGCCGGCACCAGCAGATCAAGATTCCAGACAACCTGAAGAAGGGACTGAAGTGGCAGATGGTGCACAAGAGCCTGTCCAAGGGGACCAGCCTCACTCGGCCACCCCACATCGTCGTAACCGCGGGTGCAAGCAAGAGAGGTGGGGGGGGTATGGTGACGCCGCAATCCCAGGACTGAGGGCGAGGACGCGCGGTCTCACCCCGGCCCACGGGCCTGCTCTCTGCGCTTTCCCATCCGTGACCCTCGCCAGCCAGCCTGGTTCTCATCAGGAGGGAGGAGGCGGAAGGGATATTTATGGCGCCCACAGCCTGGGAACTGAAAGGGCAGACTTAGTGGGGAGCATTCTGCTCCAGTCAAGAAGGCCGACTACGAGACGCAGATGTAACCACGCGTGGCTCACGTGCAGGAGGTGAGCAAGCGGCAAGAAGCTGGGCCCGTTCCATCCCTCCTATAAGGACATTGTGGCCTTCTTCTGTGGTGGTTGGAAGCAAGAGCTTGAAGCCCAACACGCTCCAGAGGCAAGTCGCAGCCCTCCGTTCCAGGCTCAGGGGCTCAAGAACCCATCCACGGGCAGACCCTTCCTTCGTGCCCAGCATTAGCTCAGCCTTTCACCTCCATCAGCCACGGGCTCTGCTGGCCTTCCGCCCAAAGAAGCCAAAGGCTGGCTCAAGGGCTCTGCGCCTTTACTCCAACAGAAGAGCAGCTTTCAGACTCTCTGGCTCCTTGTTCGCCTCACACAGCAGCCAGAATCTGGGCAGGAGGGTAACCAAGTCCCACCGTTGCCTTCCACACATCCAGAGCACACGGGGCGCAGGACTTGATGCGGCCACAGCAGCCCCCCCCCGAGCTGCGGCTGTGGGGATTGGCGGAGCGGCTGCCACTGGGGCATCCTTCTCAGCCTTCGCCAAGCACCGTAGGACTGGCCAGGCGGCCTCAGCGGAAGCAGCCTTTGGCGGGAGGGCCCTGCGGCAGGGGGTGGAGCCGTAGGCCTTGGAAGGACCCCGCCCAGAAGGACGGCCTGGGTGAGGGTTAATGGCCTGGATGACTCCCACACACACACACACACACACCGAAGGGGAACGGAACCCTGGAACTTACCTGGAGGTTTCTTCTCTGCAGTGGGGCAAAGTTATCCACTCCCCCCCCCCCCCAAAAAAAAAGAGAAGTGGAAGAGAGAGAAAAAGAGGATGTCAAGGAAATTATCTCAGCAGGGGAAGTAAGAAAGACGTGTGCAGAGAATGTAGACAGCAGGGCTTGGACCACGACTGCAGGGTCATAGGATAGAATCATAGCGCTTGAAGGGACCTCCAGGGTCATCTAGTCCAACCCCCTGCACAGGTCAGGAAATCCACAAATACCTCCCCCTCGACACCCGCAGCGACCCGTTCCACGCCCAGAAGATGACCAAAACCCTCCAGGATTGCTTCCTGACCCCAACGTGGCGATCAGCATTTCCCTGGGCGCATGAACTGAGCACTGAGGCCTCAACCCTCCCTGCCCTCCCTTCTCGTGATCTGCCTCAGTTCACAAATCGTAGGGTCAGCCCACGACCTCTCCAGTAGGGCTCCACGCAATATTTGCATAACCCGACCTGAGTGAGCAGAGGCGTGTGACCCAACCCGCTTGGATGGCTTCACCCCATTGAGAAGAGAAGAAACCTTCCAATAAGTTCCCAGGTTTCGTTCCACCACCAGTGCTGTAGGTCCTTATGTAAAAATCTCCATACGGAGCCGTGAGTGTGAGTGAAACCTCACTTCCTGCAGAAGAGAGGATAGTTCGTAAGAGTGCTCCCCAAAACTTCCAGGTTCTCCGTTGGATAAAAATCAAAAGCAGGTCTTTATAACACGGAGAAGGCTGTGTGTGTGTGTGTGTTTGTGGCCTTCACATCTCTACTTTGGCCTCCCAGTAGCAACCAGTGTTCCCTCTAAGCTGAGTTAGTGTGAGCTAGCTCACAGTTTTTTAGCCTCCGGCTCACACATAGAATCACAGAATGTTAGAGTTGGAAGGGGCTTGCAGGTCATCTAGTCCAACCCACTGCACTCTGCAGGAGCATAGCCGAAAGAGAGCCCTACAACATACCCGAAAGAGGGTAGTCCATCCTCCGCTCCGAAACCTCCAGTGAAGGAGCCTCCACCACCTCCCGAGGCAGTCTGTTCCACGGCTCCACCACTCTTACAGTTAGGAAGTTTCTCCTGATATTTAGCCGGTATCGACTCCCTTGTGATTTCCACCCATTAGGTCTAGTCCTGCAATCCGGAGCAAGAGAGAATAGCTTTTTTTGTCTTAGCTCCGGGATGGCTCCAGAGCCAGCTAATTGATGCAGTAGCCCAATCACTCGCTCACAACTTTAATGTCAGTAGCTCACAAAGTAGAATTTTTGCTCACGAGACACCACAGTGGCAGCAACTCCTCTGGAAGTCCCTAAGCGGAAGCCAAGTACAGCTCACTGGCCTGGCCTTGATCTCTGCCTTGGGCCACGTTGGGGAGCCGGAGTGGAAATGGGAAACCGTCCCTTGGGTGGTGGCCAGTGTTCCCTCTAAGCTGAGTTAGTGTGAGCTAGCTCACAGTTTTTGAGCCTCTGGCTCACACATTTTTGTCTTGGCTCAGGAAGGACGGCTCCAGAGCAAACTAGTTTATCCAGCAGCCAAATCTCTTGCTCACAACTTTAATGCCAGTAGCTCACAAAGCAGAATTTTTGCTCACAAGACCCCACAGCTTAGAGGGAACATTGGTGGTGGCCCCTCCTCCCTTGAAGCTGGAAGCTAGCTGCGGTGGGGGACGGGACGTGTGCACTTGCAGGAGGGTTTCTCCCCGGGCTCCAGGGGCTCACTCCCCTCTTCTGTCCCGGCAGGCCAAGTTCCTCCCCAACAGCGGTGACTCCACCATCGCCATGTGCGCCCGTGATGGCCAGGTGCGAGTAGCGGAGCTTTCGGCCACCCAGTGCTGCAAGAACACCAAGAAGGTGGCCCAGCACAAGGGCGCTTCGCACAAAGTAAGTCGGAAGAGGGGGGAGAGCCGGGGCCCCGCCTGGGGGGGGGGAGCTGGGGTTATCCAGCACGGGGCTCGCAGAGGGAGCCCATGCTTGCCCAGGACACGCAAGCCCTCACTTTCCAGCAAAACTACTTGTCCTTCTCTGCCTAAAATAGCAGCCCCCAAAACCTTCCTGAGGAGTGATGGCCACCTGGCCTCGTTCAGGAAGTGGGGTTAGTCCTGGAGTGATGGGGGAGCTGAGGAGCCGCCATAGAGCCGACTTCCAGACAAATGGGGATCTTTTAAGGGTGCATGGACAGATTGGGGGTGGCAGTGGAAAGATGGAACTGTGCGGGGCCCCCCATCTTCTGTCTTCTGTCTTCACCAAGGGCCACAGGCAGCCTCGGCTGTGAGAAGACAGCCTGCCAGGGAGGGGATTTCCACCCCGCCCCCTGCCCGGAGAGGCCCTGTTGCGAGTCTGTGGCAATCTCTGGCTTCCCCTGGAATCCCTTTTGTTGGCCCCCCACCCCGGGGGGACTCCTGGCTGGAGGGGTGCTTGGAAGGGTTTGGGGGGGGCGGGCAGTGGGCACTTGGCCCGCATGCCCCCCTTCCCCGTGGCTGTGGAGCCTGCTTCCCTGGGAGTCCACGCCCCTGCCTGCCTGCCTGTCTTTCAGCTGGCCCTCGAGCCGAATTCTCCGTGCACTTTCCTGTCGGCCGGCGAAGATGCCGTCGTCTTCACCATTGACCTGCGACAAGACCGGCCTGCTTCGTAAGTGGCGGTTGGAGCCCTTTGGTGCCAGGCAGTCCTCTCGGGGCTCACGTGGCCGCGGTGGGCAGGGACCTGTGGCTTCCCCCTGGGGTGGCCGCAGTGGCGGCAGCTTTCCCTGCCGTTTCCTGTTCAGGCACTTGATGGCTCTCAGGCTGCACTCTGTCCTTCTCCCCCCCCCATTGCAAAGGTGGTTTTGCTTGACTGCTCGGCTTGGGGGGGGGGGGTCCAAGCGAGTTTCCCCGCCTTGGCTGCCGGGGCGCTCTCCCCTCCTCTGGCCTCCCTGGAGCCGCAGAGCACAGAGGTCAGGTCTGCCCGAGTGCTGCATGTTCCCCGAGTCTCTAACTATTTGGGTGTTTGGAGGGCTGCTTTCCCAGGGTGGATTTATGGGCCCCCCCCCCCCCCCGCAGGTGTTGGTGGGAGGAGCGGCAGTGGCCGGCGAGGGGCTTGTGGGGCTGTCGAGCCCTGGCTCCAGGGTGACTTTGCTCTTGCGCTTAGGAAACTGGTGGTGACGAAAGAGAAGGAGAAGAAAGTGGGCCTGTACACCATCTACGTGAACCCCTCCAACACGCACCAGTTTGCAGTGGGGGGCAGAGATGAATGTGTCCGGTGAGCCCGGTTTGTCCCCCCCCCCCCGGGGCCTGGCCCTGGGATCCTGCCAGGTGGAATGCGCCGGGCCTGTGAAAGGGCGGGAGCCAGAAGGGCTTTTTTGGAGGGAACCCTGGTTGTCTGGTGGGGGGGGGGGGGGCAGGGTCTTGGGGGCCATGCTGGGAGCAAGAGAGAGATGGGATTTACACCCCGCCCTTCTTTACCCAAAGGTGTCTCAGAGCGGCTTACAAACACCTCTCCCTCCCCCTCCCCACAACAGACACCCTGTGAGGTGGGTGGGGCTGAGAGAGCTCTGACAGAAACTGCCCCTGAGAGAACAGCTTTTGCCAGAACTACGGCCTGCCCAAGGTCATCCAGCCAGGTGTGAGTGGAGGAGGAGTGGGGAATCAAACCCGGCTCTCCCAGATCAGAGTCCGCCTGCACTCAACCACCACACCAAACTGGCTTGTGGTCGCTACAAAGGGAGGGTGGAGGCCACGGCCCCTGGTGCAGGGCAGGAGAAGAGCCCGTTGCCCTCTTTGTCTCATCCTCGCGGCGCCACTCAAGCAACGGGTGCCGTCGCTCGGATCTGGCCTCTCCTCCCGTGGGGGGGATCATCGGATGACTCCAGCCCTCCTCCGGTGGTCCTTGGCAGCAGCCAAGTCCGGGGTGCCCCTTCCCCTCCTCAGGGGCCTTCCTTCGGAGGCCGGGTGACTGGCGGGCTCTCCTCCTTCCTTCCGGCAGCACCCGGAAGGCCACCGCGCCTGCTCCCGCTCACCTGCAGATGAGATCTTCCCCGACCCTCTTCTCTGGGCCCACTGGTCCAAGCCCGGGAGGGGGAGGAGGAGGGCCCCGGAAGCCCCTCCCCTCTCTCCCTCTCTCTGGGTGTCGGCTGCCGGACACCCCCCAGGGTCCCGTTTGTGCCCTTTTATGGCGCAGCCCCATCCCAGCTCCCCTCCGCGAGTGGGGACGAAGAAGGTTTATGAAATTACGCACAGGGGAGGGAGAGCAGGCAAAGAGAGCTTCTTCCCCCCTCTCTCAAAAGACGAGCGCGTCCAGTAGAGTTGATGGCCGGCAGATTCGGGACAGACAAAAGCGAGTGATTAAAATGTGGGATTCGCTGGCAGAGGTTGCAGCGAGGACCAAGGCTCCCTCTCTGAGCTCTGGAGGGTCTCGTGAGCAAAAATCCTACTTGGTGAGCTGCTGGCATGAAAGTGGTGAGCGAGCGACTTGGCTGCTGCGTCAGTTGGTTTGCTCTCGGAGGCCTCCTTCTTGAGCGAGGACACAAATGTGTGAGCCGGAGGCTAAAGAACGGTGAGCCGGCTCACACTGACTGGATGGACCAGGAGTCGGACCCACCAGGCCCCCTGCTGCGCTTCCAGGGACAGAGGTCCCAGGAGTTCAGCCAGTCTCAGGAAGACCCGGACAGGTCCCCCACCCCAGCCTCCGTGCAGCTCCACCTGGCACGCCAGTCCGGTGCTTCCTGGCCGGGAGGCAGGGGGGTGCTCAGGAGAGGAGACGCCTCCTCCAGCACGGGGCTCTTCCCCCCCCCCCACCGAGAGGTTCCCTCTCACCTCACCGAGGTCACTGCGGGGCCACAACACTGCGGTGCTGCGCCAGGGCCCCCCGGACCACCAGCCCCCCCAGGGAGGCTCCGGGGTTGTTCCCCAGCCCGGGTCTCGTTGAGGAAGCCCTGAAGACAGTGTGGGCCGTCCCCGAGGAGGCCGGAGCCTGCGTGTGGGGGCAGGCACCACGAAGGATGCCCCTGTCATGGCCGGGCACCGGGGACCCCGCAAATAGAAGGCACGGGGCTCTCTGTGGGGAAGGCTCCTGGAGCCTCAGCCCTGGCTCTCGGGCCCGGATCGCCCGCTTCCGACGGGCCCTTTCGGGGGGGGGGTGAGCCCCTGCAGAAGCCCGACTCGGGTCTGGTCGGCCTGGGACAAGCTCTGCTAGAAATCAGCGTCTCACGCTAGAAAGGAACGTGCCTCCACTTGAACGGGGCCTGGAGGTGGGGGCATTGCAAAAGATGGGTTGTGTGGTCTCTCGTCCCCCCCCCCCAAGCAGCGGGATAACCCCTTCTAGTTTACCTTCCATTCCATTGATGGGGGGGGGGTGTGACTCGTCTGACACGGGGGGGGGGCTGTGGGTCAGTGGAAAAGCCTCTGCCTGGCA